CATCGAAACTGTGCGTGAATTCATCAAAAATCAGCCGAGATCATCATTGAAATTCATGGAGATGGAGTTGAACATCTCCAAAACATTAATTTAACGCATTTTGACCGAACAGTTGGGCTTGCGAAAGGTGTGTGCATGGTTTTTTCGGCATGAGATCATTATGATTATATGACGAAAAATTACATTTCAACCATTAGCCACTTCCCGCACTTACCTGATATGGTACCGTGCGACTTCTTTCTTGTCGAAAAAATGCATTTGCCCATGAAAGGAAAGCTTATGCACACGTAAAGGCTATTCAAAAGGCTTGCACCGGCATACTGGCGGCCAACGATCTAAAACACTCGACATGCTTTTGAWCTATGTAAAAGCGATTTCGATGCGATATCGATCCTATTATATTTGGATTTTCACCTTCTTAATTTAATATACGAACACTCTGTGTTGGTTTACTCTCCTGGTTAAGCAGTGTGTCCTTACACTTTCCCATTTTGGCTTTTGTTTTTTGTTTTTTTTTTAACCAACCTTTTCAGCTCTTTAATCACTTTTTGCTTGCGAGAGGATGATTCGACATCGTATCCGTTTGTCATGTATGCTCGCGAACATCCAACTTTTCCTTCCGGTTGGTACCTAAAGAACTGTTTATTAAATCTCTGCGTTCAAGTATATTTACTAGAGTTTTAAGACTTTACAAATTCTTGTCAAACAACAAATAATCTAAAAAAATCGATAGATTGATATCTATAGCGCAAAAACTAGAGATGCAGTGGCCATGGTTTCAAATCTGGATCGGATTTTATAAATAATGATAGAATTTAAGGTATCTCTTATATTATAAAATGTTGGCATCACAAGTGATGGTATTTATATATTATTAGGAAATCAGCGCAAACTGGCACTGCCCACATTCAGCATAGACACGACGCTGATCAGTATATGGAGCGCTTCGTCGTAGGCAGCTTTTTTAACACTCGTGTCATTGTTGGCAGTACCTTTCATTAATAAATTGTGGGCGAAATTTAGATCTGCCTGTTTGGCCACAGATAGACCAGGTTTGGCAAGAGCGCTTTGGATACTGCTCGCCAAATCATTGATGTCCCTGTCAAGATCCTCTCTTTTGATCCCATCATATTTTTCATCTAGTCTTTTTTCAGTCTCCTCTTTCCACTGACTATAGCCTGTGAAAATTGGGGTAGATCATACAGAGATATGTGACTACAAATTCTTACTCATGGTTGCTATTTCACCTTTGTCCGATTCGCTGGAACTGCCCGCGGTTGTTGGTGCACTTGTTGGTGCACTTGTTGGTGTTATAACTTGATTTGGTTGTGATCCAGTACTTGTATTTGTTAGTCCGTTCGCTTCTTCGGCGCTCGTTGTGGAAGCTGAGCTGACGGTAGTTGTAGTTTCATCGGCATCTGTGCTTTGCTGACAAGATGACAGGGTGCAAAGGATTGCGATGACAATTAGAACCGTGCTTACTTTCATTTTAGACCACGCGAAGAAATAAATATTGATTTGAATATGCTCCGCSACTCAATGCTTACAGGTACGAAAGTGAAAATGGATTTGGCTTGCRTGCCCTATAAATAACTAAGCTCTGTTATAGAAATTCATTACTATCTATATAGTTCCGYCGTCGAAAAAATTAGATTACCTTTAGAACGCAACCATTTTTATTACTTGCACACACACATCCACGCGCATGTAATTTACAATATGTATTTATGACTAGTTTAATGATTTTAAGAGCTTCGTCCAATTAAAAAAACTAATTTAAAAACGCTTTCGACGTGTTCGCTTGTAATTAGCTACTTTGAGCTTTTCAAAGTTGCAACAATTATCTATTACATAAAGTTACTTCCTAGTCGTATATTTATTAAGTTCTAATACTGGATTAGTTTCCACATATATTATTTAAGGTGTTTTCACTTATTAAGCGAGCGTCCACACAGTACTCGTTGCAGTGCGAGCAGGGCTTAACCGTTGAAGTATTTTTGATTTTCGTTATAGAAGCATTCATACTCTGTCTTACTTACGATATGGATGTAGTGACCTATACAGGAACTGGGGAAAATCAAATACTACACTAAAGATTATAGCCTTGTTTTCTAGTTATTATATGTACTTTGAACAGAGTTTTTTAAGTTTGCGACGACGTTTGTAACACCCAAAAGGAAACATCTAATATATAAAGTAAATAACACAGTACAACAGGTAATCTGTGGGGTGAGAAATTCCAAGTCAGGGTGATGGTACTAGGTCAGTACAGAAAAACCCTCAAAGGGTTTGGCGTTCGTATGTCTTTTTTTTTATGACCTCTTAAATGTTTTCCTTATTTCCCATGGTTTTCCATATTAACAAAATATTTTTTTTCCAATCAGGCGTACTAAGTGGTCCAGATATACGATATGATATAAGATATGATATATATTGAATGCATGGCAGGCAATCAAAGAAGTAATAGAAGGCTTGTTGGGAAAGCATCGTTCTAACAACTCCGGCGTTTGTGTCGCAAAGATGTTAAGAGCATTTTCGGATATTGCTTTTTTTTTTTTTTTGCCAAAATGTCACAACTAAGCGAAAAAACATCAAGATAAGGAAAAACGGGGTCATAAGGTCAAAAGATCATAAAAAAGCTGACTTGGAATTTTTCACCCCCCAAACAATAATCCCAAAAATGTTCCACAGTGTAATAGGTTGTCAAAAAGTCATGCGGTATTTTTTTTTTTTCTTTTATTTTATTTTTTTTATAACGGTTTGATGTCTCATGCCCAGCTCTTGACCGGTGCTACGGCTGCTACTATCTGCTACTATGCCGGTCTCTTTCGACCAATTCAGCGATTTTATCGCAATTTTCGACAACAGGCCTTTCGGAGCGTGGAGCATCTTCGACCACCTCTACACCAGAACGAAAACGTTGAAACCATCGCTTTGCAGGTGGAAATGGAAACTGTATCGGGTCCATAAACTCCACAAATTTTATTGGCATTTTATGAACAATTGAAAATTCAATAAAAGAATACCGCAAGAAATATCGCAAGACTTTTTTGACAACCTATTATACGTTCTTAAGGATGTATAAAAATATTAGCGTAAGAAGCTTTGTCGCTTTAGCCATGCCTGTCTATTTTTATAGACGTAAACTAGTCGCACAGACACCTCTGATATGGGTCCACTATAGCCTATACATAGTTGCATCCCTAAAACTGACGATGCAGATTTAAAGAAAAAAAAAAATGATTCTTATCTATATATTTTCATTTCGTAATATTTATTGGTAAACTAAATTCGTTGAAAATTTTTGCGAAAGTTTTATTTTTATAAAAGGTTAAAAACTTAGCTACTTTTTACCTATTTCTATAAAGAAACATTCGGGAAACTCGATACTTAACTTACTCCTGGAATAAAATCATACCATTATTATTTTGCTTATAACGTGTTTTCCAATAGGAACGCTACAAAAGTAGACGGTTAGGGACAGCAAACGATGGAAAGGTATACAACCCAACAACGAGTCAAGATTATTAAAATTTAGTAGCGAAATTCGGAGTCAGTGAAATCAAATTTAAGAGCGCTACGTCGCATCAACAATTAAGCGTCTAATGGAAATACTTTAATCCACAGGCACACTATGAAATATTCATGTGCCAGTGAAAGAAAGAAGTTCCCGTAGTGTCGAGAATATTGCTGCCGCTAGCGCATCAATTGAGGAAGGCTCAAATCAGTCTCTCACACGTCGTTCTCAAGCATTGGGCATCTCAGTGACGTCGTTGCGGCGCATTTTGCGCAAAGATCTTGGTCTACATACTTCAAAGATCAAATTGACGCAAGAACCGAAGCCGTGTGACCACCAGAATCCTCGAATGTTCGTGAATTGGGCTGAGCAACAACTTGCAAATGATCCGTATTTCGTCGAAAAATCATCTTTAGCTATAAGGTTCATTTCTGACTGAATGGATTCGTCAATAAACAAAATATGCGTTATTGAATTGAATGACATGGACTTATGTGTATATATGTGATTCAAACAGGACGGCGCCACAAGCCACACAGCGAATATCACATCGATTTATTGAAAGCCAAGTTTGGTGAACGTGTTATTTCACGAAATGGCCCAGTCAATTGGCATTGATTAGACGCAGTCAGACTGCAAGTACGAGTATATCCTGTGGAGCTACGTCAAGTCTGTGCCAACACGCCAGCGACGATTGATGAACTTCGTACGAACATCGAAAGTGAAATTGCAACAGTTTCGGACGATGTATGCTTGAAAATCGTCGAAACTTTGTTTTAGCATCTGGATTTCTGTTAGCGTGCCCATTGTGGCCATGCAAACGAACGCGAGTTCCATACTGAATGGCATCGAATGTACTTTCACAGGAATAAAAAATTTCATTGATACCCCAAAACATTTGTATTGTAAAAATAGCGTTTGAAATTTCGAAATTCAAAGAAAACTACGGCTTTTTCTGAAGCCGTTCTTAAACAAATTATGATAATTATGAATTATCGGTTGATAATTAAGTACGAAAAACCGGTTTTAAGCTTAAGTCGAGATTATGGGGGTGTCTGGCAAATTGCAAAATTGGATTCTCGATATACTCCACAACTCCTACAAGAAAATAACTTCAAAAATAACTTCCCAGGCATTTCGAGTTCATTCTTATCAGTAGCACTGCGTCATATATTTCTATTTAAAGTATTTTGTTTGAAGATCATCTCACGGTTAAACGCATCTAAGTCTATGCAAAGGGCTCATTCACGACGATAAAACACTAATAAATGTGCCGAGTGCATCGTTGTAAGCAGCTTTTTTGAAATAGACATCATTAACTGTTGCTGCAATTTTCAGCGATGTTATTGCGCCATAAATATGGCGTTTCTGTGCGTCAGATAAACCACTTGTGTAAAGACTGCTCTGTAAGTTCGTCAGTAAAGCATTGTTAGCTTCATCCTGATCCGTTCTCTGAAGTTTTTCAAAATGCTTTTTTTGTTTTGCGTCTTCCTGCTCTTTCCATTTCTGATAATCTGTGGTAAGAAAACGAAGTTAATTTCAGGTATATAAATGTCTATAATTAATATGTTGATTTAATGGAAGGGTAAAATTTACCTATTACTGTATTAGGCCTCCGTGCTTCTGCTAGATACGAGTATAGGTACAAAGCTACCGCAAGTACGCCGACGATTGCCTTATTCATTGCCGTATTCCGTAGTCAGTTCAAGAAACGCAATCCTCTAAGTGCGAGCCGCTTTCTTTAAGTACTCGCAGTTTCGCCCTTCTGATGAAGTATGTAACTCTGTATGTTAGCTGAATAATGAATTGCTGAACTGACATTAATAGTTTGTTATCGCTGAGCAAACTTAGAATTACTGAAAAGTGCAACATTATGCCTTTTTGATTTGAAAGTGTATTCTACTCTGGACTGGAAAGTGGTTTGTGAGTAGGTATCCCGCAGTAAAGGTTGTAGAACACATCCAGCTTAAATCTATAATTACCTGARTGAAATTGAAGCAGTTAGAAAAAATCAAAATTGTACAGAGTTTTGAATGATTACTAGTGTGTTCATTTTTTACATATTCATGTACTTATTTCTAGCAAAAATTAAAAAATTTTAAGTCTGAGGCGTAAACATTTAAATTTGCAATATTTCCATTATATTAGATTAGGTTAGGTTAAACTGGTAGGACCAGCTTTGGTCCTCTGCGATATCGATATCTACTACCTAGGTACAAGAGAAGTAGTCATCCTTTAGAATGCTTGACGCAAAGTATATCACTAGTGTATCATGCCGTAGAGACCCCAGATGCTTACAGCGTAGTCTTGCCAATGCGGGGCAACTGCACAAGAGATTTAAGATGAATAAATGAGGAATGCACCGCGACCTTAGGTCGATTGTGCCCAAATACACAAGAGATGCTCCATTGTCTCCCTGATACCCTACTCTACGCACTTCCTGCAGTCTTCTTGATCTGTCAGCCGCCGACGTGTGCCGTCACCAGACAGTGAATAGTTAGTATTCCGATCATTTCCCTACAGTTTCTTCTTGAGTGGCGATAGTTTATTCATGTGTGCTTCCGATCTACCGTTCACATCATTCTCATCCACTACTTCGTTGCCGTCGATGGTTTTGTGAACTGGCATCTAGTAGAAGTGAAGTTATTTACTTTAGCAAAATATTCCACCGTGGCCCGGATTTTCAAGACACTTCTGGCGGATATGCTTGGCCGTCAACATAGATGTTGACTCTGGAATTGTCTGCAGGTCCATTAGAGGCTAGCTCCGMTGCTTTCGTAATAACAAAGATCTCACTTTGAAACATACTGCAGTGGTCCGGCAACTTAAAATGTTGACTTATGCCTTACTCTGGACAGTATAGTCCCCAGCAACTCCATTCTCAATTTTCGAGCCATCAGTGTAGATGTTTAGAGTGTTGCGCGTAGTTTACATACCTTTACGCCAGCCATTTTTTCCTACGTTTACTGTGAACCTCTTTCCCAGTTAAAAAGTGAGGACATGTAATCAGTGTTTGTCAAACCGCCATACCCATGGAGCTATGCCCGAAGGTTCTATATGTAAATTCTCCTGCAGTCGGTAGTCATCCCGCCRATTTTGCTGCACAGTTTTCRGCGAAAAATAGGTGGCAGGTTTAATACCAGTTCAAGAGCTGCCGTTGGAGTTCTTCTTAAAGATCCAGTTATGCGCAGCAGCGAGCTTCTGAACCCTTTCCATTATATTCCGATAGGTGAATTTCCGTACGCCAGTCCACCATACTACTGCACCGTTGGTTGCATTGCATTGGTCTTACAATAGCTGTGTAGCACCAATGCATGAGAGAGAGAGAGAGAGAGCCACCAGGTTGTGCCGATCATCTTCCTACACGCATATACGTAGAGASCATACAAAAGACTTGCACCGGCATACTGGCGGTCATACCGGGCAATGARCTAAAACGCTCGTTCGACATGCTTTTGGACCGTGCAAAAAAGCTGTATTGAAGCAGAAGGAGACTACTTTGAATAAAATAAATTGATTTTGCTGAAAAAACCATTTGTTCCGTTTTTTTTTTTTTTTTAAGTCCTCTTTACTTTGGAACGCACTTTATAGTAACCTAGAAGTGATGATGCTATCTGTCAAAAACTGAACCGAGAAAATATCTCTCTACTTGAACTACTTCGTTTCGAAAGCATCGTTGCAATCGTTTTGGAAATTCAAATCATCAAAAATTATCGCTATGATCATAAACATAATGATGTGTAGCATGAATATATTAATGGAAACACATGACGGCGAATCACATGCTGCATCCACAGACCATTTTAACAATGCTGCAACATTTATATCTTTCGAATCTTTTTCAATTCAAATATATGGTAAATTGGTTTTGAATTTAAGCAATTACTTTAWGCACATACATAAAACAAAACACACACATACACACAATCCAAAAAACAATTACTATATTAGCTACAGCTAGGCAAAGTCGAACTATCCTCCCATTCCGTATGCGCTTAAGTACAGCAGCTCCAAAGAATTCGACAGCGCATCCCCTGGGATGCAAATGCACTAGCATGAGCTKGTGGTGCTCATCATTTTCAAATGTGGCTTTTATGTTCGGTCTAAATTTTTCATGTGGCACTGTGCTATTGCTGCAACAAAGAACCAATAACGTAATGGCCTCGGGCAGCTTTTTAATTTTTATATCTGAACGAACTCGAATGCCTTACTTCACACACACATACATACATGCTCGTATGTGTTATATGTGCTGTGTGCAACAGTCTTATTCAAATAGGGCAAGCAAACGACAAACAAAGCGAGCAAATAACATGAAACGAAGAATAAAATAATGAAGAAATATCGCAGAGAATATTAATAATAGCAGCAAAGGAGCGCTCACATACACTTGCACACATCTGTATATATTATTGTTGGCAAGCGAATTAAACCAGGGGAGTTTAGCTAAGCAGGGCGTAAGTTTCCAGAGAACGCACGTAAGCCGGGTTGCAACTGACAGGATTTTAAGCAAACAATACATTGCATATGTCTTTATGTGCATATATATGTATATGTGAGTGTATTGTATATGGGTTAGTGAGTTGAACGCAATTTTCTATTATGTTCAGGCATTGCTTCCTCCATATACGCACACAATGATGAGGTGCCTTAGCTTTTGCTTTGTGACACGTGACAAGCCTTAGAACATCTCAGTACCAATACAACTACACAAATGCAGAGCAAAACATTGCCATAAATAAATATCAAGCGCAAGCATTAGAAAAATTCTAACATTTGCTTAGGAATATTAAGCTTAATGCCAACCTTTAAGTACAATATATAAGGCGTATGCGTGTACGAACTTCGAAGGCGTAGAAATATACATGCTTGGTGGTCACCAAAGGATTTTTGAGGTACAATTTACAGAGCAAACTTCTCTCCAGCAGTCATAGGGAGATTATACGTGATCTCACGAATATCAGCATCTTTACCTAACCTGACCACACCTTGTGCTTATTACTGATGCACTGACAGGGATCAATTGTCGGCATGCCGTCTGGATATCTAAACCTGAAGAAATATTTACTATATAGTATATTTGTAATAGAATTATTTCACTGAAGCATTAAACAACCGTTCTTCATAATAATCGTTGTTGTCTTGCTTTAGTCCTTCGGCTACGTCTCCAAAACCTGTTCATTGCTATACTGCTAGCTGTCTAATCAAGCACTTCTAACATTATTTAAAAATCAACGCCCACTCGCTGTGCTTACTTACAGATCTGCAACGACATATAGATACTGCACAAACAAAACTGCAGTAGTTTCTGCCACTGTATTGTTTAGTGTTTACCTTTAGTGTCATTCGTAGCAAACAACCGCCAAAAGGCCTCACTAAAATACCGAAAAGTGCGCTCATAAATGCATGGCGCTTTCAAGCACACCTCAAGCACCGACTCTGCCATATGTGTTCGAAGGCAATTTTTTTCACTTGCAAGGCGCACTTGAGAGCCTCACTTCACCAGGCTCTTTGGTCTTAGTGCGGATTTCTGTTGTGCAGTGCTTAGGACGTGACAACAATACACGGTACATGCGAGTCTATTTGTCGAAAGATTCTTGTAATTCTGTTTGTTAACCGTTTTAGCTAGTACTTCTGTGCCAAGCAGCTAAGCGGTCCCACCAGCTGAATACTTGCATTTAGTGCGCTCAAATCGTATGGGAAGTTCTCACTTACTTACATACATAAAAGCCCTAGTTTGGTTTAGGGCAAAAAATAAAATATTTACTGGTTTGCTAGCTTCGAATGACAGAATGAAACGGTACTCCATTGGAGACTGCCAAATCGCAAGAAAGTCAAGAAGGCGCATAAATGTTTTCAGAAATATTTTTAATAAAAGCTGTAAAATTTTCTAATGATTGCGTTAAAGTTCAACAGTACCCCAATTATGTTGCTTTCTCAGATTATAAAAACGTTAAAGAGAGCAATAAAAGCACATGAAAATCAATTCAACTTTCCATCTCGATCATATCAATTTACATACACACAAGTATAAATTCCCCTTGTAAATGATATTAAACAAAAATATATTATGCKAAGTAAGTAAGACTCTCCTGTGTGCGGAATCGTTGCGAATGTTGGAAAAGGSTTACGGAGACTCAGTTTCATCAAAACCACAAGCCTATGAGTTGCACAAAGCCTTCAAAGGCGGTCGAGAGATCGTTGAAGACATGCCTCGYTCTGGACGATCTTCGACCTCTTCAACTGAAGAAATATTAAAAAGGTAAAGGACAATGGGAAAAAAGCGCAACATTCCTCTTTTTTTCTCGATATTCGTGGTTTGGTACATTAAGAATTTGTTCCGGAGAGACAGGAGGTCAATAAGGAGTTCTATTTGGAAGTATTGAGGCGTTTGATTGAGAATATCCGCCCAAGACGGCTTGAAATGCAAAGTTTAGACGATGATAACGCACCAACAAATTGTGCCACGATTGWCACCGAAGTTAAAGCGAAAAACGAAAAGAACACGTAAGGACGAAATGGTTTTTTCTTGCCTACCAATTGGAAACTGCCGCTCCGTGGAACGCTTTTTCAGTCGATCGAAAATATAAACCTCTGTTGGGACTTTCTTTGAAGGCGACAAAATAAATATTGRTGGATAATTAAATATTTTGCGCTTTACTTACAATGTCCGTGTACTTTTCTGTAACAATG